CTTTCTTTCTCTCTTTCTCTGTCTCTCATGAATAAATAAATAAAAATCTTAAAAAAAAAGAGGGAACTCTGAACCCTGAGAGGGTGTGTACTCACACTACAGAGTGCACTGCCCTTTGGGTAAGAGAGTATTCTAAGACAACAAATCAGAAGTGAGGGACTGCTTACCCCAAATAACCCTCTTGTTCCCTCCTGTTTTGAAAAATAGAGGTTACAAGTGAACTATTCTTATTCAGAAAGCAAACATGAAAAACTAACCTAATAAAAAGGAGAGTTAAAAAAAGACAAATGGAAAATATGTATCTTAAAAGTTATTTAATTAATAAAAGGATATTTTATTTTTATTTTTTTAAAATTTAAATTTAATTTGCCAACATGTAGTATAATACCCAGTGCTCATCCCATCATGTGCCCTACTTAGTGCCTGTCACCCAGTCACCCCATCCCCCCTCCCGGCTCCCATTCTGCAACCCTTCATTTCCCAGAGTTAGGAGTCTCTCATGGTTTGACTTCCTCTTTAGTTTTGCCCCACTCAGTTTCCCTCCTTTCCTTTGTGGTCCCTTTCACTATTTCTTATATTCTACATATGAGTGAAACCATATGATGATTGTCTTTCTCCGATTAACTTATTTTACTCAGCATAATACCTTCCAGTTTCATCCACATTGAAGCAAATGGTAGGTATTTGTCCTTTCTGATGGCTGAGTAATATTCCACTGGGTATTCTTTATCCATTCATCTGTCAAAGGACATCATGGCTCCTTCCACAGTTTGGCTAGTGTGGACATTGCTGCTATGAACATTGGGGTATAAGTGTCCCGGTGTTTCACTACATCTGTATCTTTGGGGTAAATACCCAGAGAGCAATTTTTCTCTTTAAAGATTTTATTTATTCATTCATGAGAGACACACAGAGAGAAAGGCAGAGACACAGGCAGAGAGAGAAGCAGGCTCCCTGCAGGAAGCCTGATGTGGGACTCGATCCTAGGACTCCGGGATCATGCCCTGAGCCAAAGGCAGATGCTCAACTGCTGAGCCACCCAGGCGTCTTGTATTTTTAACTTCTTGAGTAAACTCCACACTGTTTTCCAGAATGACTGTACCAGTTTGCATGCCCACCAATAGTGCAAGAGGGTTCCCCTTTCTCCATATCCTCTCCAACAATTGTTGTTTCCTGTCTTATTAATTTTTGCCATTCTCACTGGTGTGAGGTGGTATCTCATTGTGGTTTTGATTTGTATTTCGCTGATGAAAAGTGAAGTGGAACATTTTTTCATGTACTTGTTGGTCATGTGTAGGTCTTTAGAAATTTCTGTTCATGTCTTCTGCCCATTTCATGACTGGATGGTTTGTTTCTTGTATGTTGAGTTTGATAAACTCTTTATAGATCTTGGATACTAGCCTGAAAGGACATTTTAGATAACCACTCATACTCTCAGTCAAAGAAACATATGCACTTCAAAAATTACAAGGAGTCAAAAAAAAAAAGGTTATTCAGTATTCAGAAAGAGAAGGAGGGAGCTGCCATATGTTAGAGGAGACAGAAATAAGATATTTTATGTAAATGACAGCCACATGAAAATATAGAAGGAGTTTGAGTAGATACTGATAAAACACAGGGGCATGGTGAATTGGATTGTGAAAATTATATAAAACAGGAGGTAGGTGGTAAAAACAGCAGTTAGAGGCAGGAATATTTGAAGGACACAAAAAATATATTATTCAACATATAGATAACCATTATGCTTGTTGCTGAAATAGAGAAAACACCACACCACACACATTGCATATGGCCCAGAAAAAATATTCAGAAATATAATACAAGAAAGCTTTCCTAAGACGAATAAAGTGATAAATGCACAGATTGAAAGAATACTATGTGATCCAAGGGAGAAAAGGTAGTAAAGAGTGACAATCACTGAAATGTATCCTGATTAAGTTACTATAATTCTTGGATATGAAAATAACACTATTTATAATCTAAATAGAACAGAAATATCTAAACAAAGAAAAAAATCAGGTTGGCTTCATAATTCTCCTTAGCCACACTTTGACAGAATGATACATTAGAATATACTTTCAGAATTATGAGAAGAGTGAATACAAGGATTTCATACCCTGCTAAGTTATTGTTCTTGTAAATAGCATAGAAATGTAATGTCTGTAATTTAAGAATTTAAAGAAAAATCACATTGCAGCTAGGATGACTGGATAAATATCTTTTTGAAATATAGCCAATCAAAAGAAAAAGGAGGAGAAAGAGGTAGAGAATCAAAATGAGTAATTTGGAAATTTGGGAACTGAACAATAAAAGAAATAGCAAGGATCACTGAATGTACATAAATACTGAAATTAGACTTTAGAATACATATTAAATCATTTACAGAATATAATGCAAAGGGTATCAGATCAGACTATGTAAAATTTTATACAAATAAAAATCAAGGAAGGGAAGACACCATAAGTAGGAGGCATTTTAAGTACAATGTTGTCCATATTTTTCAGGGTAGGTTACCAATAGATATTGTTGAAATTGCTAAACTAGTAAATAAAATTTAGGTACATTATTTTAAAGTTATTAGGTATTAAGAAAGCCACTGGAAAATTCACAATTTTAATTCAGAGCTTTGAAATTACCAAAAGGGGGAAAAGGCAAAAAAGAGACCACAATAAGAAACCTAAATCACAAAGCAAATATTTAAAACCCCAAACACATTAAAAACAAGACGGGGGTGTGTGGCTGTCTCAGTCAATAGACCATGCAACTCTTGATCTTGGAATTAAAAATTGAAGCCTTGTGTTGGGCGTAGAGATTACTTAAAAATAAAATCTTGAAAAAAAAAAAAAACCTAAAGCAGACACCTAAAAATAAAATGGAAAACAGTTCTCTCCAATACCTCTTGAGGTCAGTGAGTGAATCCAAAGGAAAACCTGAGAACATTCAGAACTTTAAACACTTATATTACCCTAGTGGATTTTGCTAGTGGTAAATGTGGGTATATTGTGCTTTTTCCTCTTCCTAGAAACTAGATTTTGCTATGCCTCAGACCTGCAGTTCTCTTTCTCAGGAAAAGCTGGGGATTGGCCTGATGGGTACAATGGAACTCTCACCCCCTTGGCTAGGGACAGGTTGAGGAATGGTCATGGGAACCAATTCTGGCTAACAATATGGGAGAAGAGGCATGCTATAGACTTCCAGGAAAGTTTTTCCTTGCTCTTAAGTGAGCCAGAGAATGGCAGGTTGTGAATGAGGAGACATGAAGCCCTAACTGCCAGAGAAACACGGAGCTTCATCTCAGAACACAGTCTCTACTGGAGACCACAGTGTAGAGAAACATGGAAGACGTTAAGCCTTGAAAACATCATTGGACTGCTCATAAGCCAACCTGTAAGTCCATCCGACAGATGAGCTCCCTTTAAGGTGAGCTACTAGAGTTCTCATCTCCAGTCAATTTGAGGTTGTTTTTGTTTGCTTTGTTTACATGCAGTGTTATGCATCTAACTGATACAATTAATGAAAAGAATAAGTAATCACTTCTTGGCTTTTTGGCTAAGATCAAGTAAAAAGAATAAGTCAACTCAATAATTCTATAAGCATTTCTCAAATGATTATTTACTATGCATAGAAAGTTTAGTAAATACATATGCAGCAAATGTACACACACATATATACACAAATTTATATATGCAGCAAATGTATGCATAACACACAGAGGGTAGACAGGAAAAAATAGGAGAAATTTGGAAGGATATAGGACAAAATGCTGATAGTATGTAACATTTCGTACCAACTGCAATCTTTACAAGCACATATTACTTTAACAACAATGGATTCTTTGAAATTTTTAAAGATTAAAAAAAATCTATTTTCATTTTGACAATAAGGAAATCCCTGCTGTCTCTAGTATCTGCCCTTACAAAAAATGTCAACATTGTGTCTTTGGCTATAATCCACTGGTGAGAAGGTCCCAGCAGGAAAATTCAGCAAAATTCTATAGTCTGGCTGGGCTTAGATTTCCTATTTCATCATTTGAAAAAAAATCGTAGAACAAAATGCTTCAACAACTCAACATTTCTAGAACATTCATATATGCAGAAGAAAGAGACTAAACCTCATTTTAAAAAAAAGAAAGCTATCCCAAAAGCACATTCTGCAGAGTTGTAGCCCTGTAGGCACACACATTGTACTGGTCTATAATAAAGATCTTGTTTATCAAGGGCAACATGTTTTAATGGCTTGGGAATTAAAATCTGGTTTCAGCCACCCCTCTGCCCCATTGCAGTAAATTAAATTTAATGCTGACAGGAGTAATACCCATTAGACTCCAGAGCAATAAATTTAAGCACCAAATTAATGAAACTGGACTGAAATGAAGGGTCTAGGAAGAACATTATGGACAGAGCAGACTCCTCTAATGATTGTTCTTTTCATAATGGAGAAAATCGGATCTAAGAAGTAAAAATGCAAAACCACCCACTGTCTCAGCCGCCTCTGGGATGGCTGACACTGGTTGGTATGCTTCTGTGGAACCTCCATTAGCAGCATTTCATGAATATCTTGTTAGTCCTTTTGGATAGAGCAGTGCCACCTGAAAAGAAGAGTGAATGTAATCAACAAATGGATAATGGGAAGTTGTCCTGAAAAGTTCAGGGAGAAACTGAGGGTAATATTTCCTTAGGAAGATGAAAAGCCTTCACTTTTCCCTCCTGCATCATTCATATAAGCCATCTCACAGTTTTGAATTTATTTTTTAGAACAATTTAAATTTCAAAACAATGCAGATCTTGAGTTTATAGGAGTTAAGAGCTCTATTGAAACTTCTAGATTTTTTTCAGTATTATTGAGATATAATTGACATGTTTCAGGTGTACAGCATAATAGTTTGACTTATATATGTTGTGAAATGATCATCACAAAATTTATTTAGCATCCTTTGAGTACAGACACATGAAAAGAGAAGGCAAAAAAGCCAAAAAAAAAAAAAAAAAAAAAAAAGGTTAGCCGAGATAGCTCAGTTGGGAGCGTTAGTCTGAAGATCTGAAGGTCCCTGGTTTGATCCCAGGCCTCGGCAGGTGCCCACAATCCTTTCCTGCCTTTTAAGAAAACTAAAACAAAAATAAAAACAAAAAAACAAAAGCCCCACGTTTCCCAGTGATGGGAACCCTTAGAATTTATTCCCTCAATTTTCTTGCGTATATACAGCAGTGTTAGCTAAAGGCATCATGTTGTACATTACATCCTGAACCTTCCTAGTACCTATTTATCTTGTAACTGGAAATTTGCACATTTTTGACCACCTTTCTCCAATTCCTTTTTTTTTTTAAAGGTTTTATTTATTTATCCATGAGAGACAGAGAGAGGCAGAAACACAGGCAGAGGGAGAAGCAGGCTCCATGCAAGGAGCTCGATGCAGGACTTGATCCCAGGTCTCCAGGATGACACCGTCGGCTGAAGGCAGGCGCTAAACCGCTGAGCCACCCAGGGATCCCCCCTTTCTCCAATTCCTTGTCCCACTCACACACACACCGACACACCTGTGATCACTGCAAGTCTAATCTCTTTTTCTATGATTTTTTTTTAATTTCACATATGAGTGAGATCATGTGGTATTTGTCTTTCTCGGACTTATTTCATTTAACATGATGCCCTTAAGATCCATCCATGTTGTTCCAAATGGAAGGATAGTCTCATTTTTTATGGCTAAAATACACACATCTTTATCCATTTATCTATTGATTGACACTTAGGTTATTTCCATCTCTTGGCTATTGTAAATAATATTGCTATGAACATGGAGGGGTATGGATATATTTTCAAAACTTCTAGACTATAATCAGAGTAGTCAGAGGTGAAAATGATCTTTTTGCTATTCTGGTGCAGAAATACTTCCATTTTATCTCTGATATTCCTATAACATCTACAAGAGTATTGTAGTATCTGCATTGTAATGTCTAGAAATGTGGTGAGCATCCTGGGACCATTAGGGCAAGGAGCTCATGAAGAGCCCCAGTACTTAATAATGTGGGGGTCAGCTAGAAATACTCTGCCTCTAGACCCCTTGATATGTAAGATAAAACATCCCTGTGTTGTTTAAGCATTTTTAAGTTATTATTAGTGATTGCCAGGGGTTAGGGTTGGGGGTGGGTGAGGTGGCCTCTAAAGGGGTGGCACAGGGAGTCTTGTGGTACTAGAACTGTTCTGCATCATACAGGATAAAATTGCATAGAATCACACACACACCCCCCCCACACAAAGAGTATGTAGGAGTGAAACTAAATAGTCTCTGTGGGCTGTCCCCATGTCAAATTCCTGGTTTTGATATTTTACTAGCTATGCAGGGTGTTACCATTGAGGATAACTGGGTAAAGGACACATGAGACCTCCTTGTACTTTTTTTTTTTTTTTTTGCAATTTCCAAAGCATCTATAATTATTTCAAAATAAAAGTAAAAAACAAACAGCTATAATAATAATCATCAGGAATTGTTTGTTAGGATGACAGATTGAACACATACACCTAATTTATAATTTCTACTTCTCCAAAAATACTATTAAAACTACTGGAAACATTTATCTTTCTTAGGATTTAAATCCAAAAGTACAGGGAAACCAGAAGCAAAGTAACATTAATGGGGTTTTGGAACCTGAAAAGCAGATGAACCAGTTATAATGGGCTTACTACACCAAAGAAAGACAAATCCATAGCCAGCAATATAGCTGGAAAGCAACTCAATTAATACTGCAAAACCTCTAAAAGGCTTAGGCTCTGGCAGTTCCAGGAACTTTTAGAATTAGGGGAAATGGATGTGGGGGAGCTAAAAAATATTTTCTTGAATAAAATATTTTTGAAAATGAGAACTCTAGGTCTTCTTCTCATCTCATGATAGTGAGTGACTGCCCATCCTCCTCCCTGGCAGAAGAATGGGTATTTATTTTTTGGTGAGATTTATTCTTATCAGGATCAAGGGGCATAGTTACCAGAGTACCATCTGAAATACAGGGGGTGGGGTGTGGGGGCGGTAGCTGACCATGCACATACTGAATTCTAAAACCCTCTGGCACTTTTTCCAGTTAGGTCTCAAAATACAGGCTGACAATTGTTGATGTCCAGATAGTGGACTGAAAGACTCCTTCCTGGAAATCTGACAAGTCCAAATTTAAAAAGAGTTAAGCATACTGTTTACATTATCCAATGCTGCATAACAAACCACTGGAAAACTTGGTGGCTTAAAGTAACAGTTTATCATTTCCCAAAATTCTGTGGATCGAGTGAGCAGTTCTTCAGCTTCTCGCATTGGCTGAGGTTCAAGGATGGATGGAGTCCTATGAAACCTCAACTGGGAGCTCAATTGGAGCTGTCAGTGAGAGGCATTCGTTCCCTCCTGACCCCCTGTGGGTCTCTCCATGTGGCTGCCTGGGCTGCCTCCCATCATGGAGTTTCCAAGTAGTGTTTCAAGAGGGAGCAGTTTAAGAGGGAAGCCTAGAAAGGGCTAAGAAATGGTACAGTCTCATTTCTGCCATATTCTATTGATGAAATCAGTCATAAACCCAGCCCTGCGTCCTTGTGGACATTCATGAATTCCAAGAGGCATCCTTCATCAGAGGTCACTGATGTAGCAGTCTAGTACATCAACATCAAGGGCTCCCCAACAAAGCCCACCTGGATCATCCTAAAGTGAAACTCAAATGACATACACCCTCAGAGATCATGATCAGATTATTAGTTGCCTGCTATTAACTGTGTGCAGATCACAATCCATTGATACCTGAGACAACTGAAGAAAGCCTCCAACAGAGGAGACAAAAAGAAAAAAAGAGGGGGTGTCAAAAAACAAATTGGGGGAATTAGAAACCATATATATATATATATATGGTTCTAATGTACATAATATACATATATATGTACACACAAAGATTATATGCATCATGATTTAGAAACTGTGTAAATATATTTATGCATAAAGATGTGTTCAGAGAGAACAATAAAAAAGACTTAGGGAATTGAAAATATATTGCAAAATTGAAAAGCTACCTGGAAGATTTGAAAGACAAAGTTGGAGATATCTCTCAGAAAGTAAAGCAAAAAGAGCTAGGGAGTAATATGAAAGAAATTTAAAAAAAAGAGAATCAGTTTCAGGACATTTGAATTATAGGCACTCTGGAGGGGAAAACTGAGAATTTGGAATAGAGTTTATCTATCTATCTATCTATCTATCTATCTATCTATCTATCTATCATCTATCTATCTATCGTAAGTCTATAGAGCTGAAGGACCTGAATTTTCAAAATGAAAGGCATCACTGAAGGCCCAGAATTAAGGATCAAAGTACCCCCCAGACCAAGGCAAATATTCTATAATTTCAGAGTACAGAGGACAAATGAGGCTTCGGAAAGAAGGAGGGAAAAGCAAAAACATAAAACGGAATTCCAAATGGCTTCAGCTTTCTTAAAGCTGGAAACATGAAGATAATGGAGCTATGTTCTCAAAATTTTGAAAAAAGATGATTATTTCACATTTAAAATCCTATTTAGCCAAAATACCAATTAAATGTATTGGTAGAATAATGGCATTTTTAATATCTTAGGAAATAATCTCCCATGAACTCTTTCTCTGGAAACTTCTGGAGGATTACTTCCACTACAATGAGTAAACCAAGAAGGCAAGAAGAAGGGAGACATAAGAGTATGCAAATAGCTCCTCTAGGATGTTGGTGCAGGGAGAACACCAGATGACAGCTGGGACCTAGGCATGGAGGGTGACCAGTCCATCTGGAGAACATGACTCAAGATCCAAGGGCTGCCATCCTCATCCCCTCTGCTATGCTACCATCTTTTTAACCTGAGACATGAACTAGAGAAAGTACTTTGTGAACACAAGAAAGTAAATCCTGGAAGAGAAAATAACAAAAAGAACATAATCAAAATCAAAACCAAGTTCTAGGAAACAGAATAAAATCTAAGAGACAGGCTAAGGGAATTCAGAATCAAGAGCAGAAGGGAAAGCTGGGGTAACAGCTGTGTCCTGCATCTACTCTCCGGGCCTGGAGAGAAACCAGCCTGGATGGAAGAAGACCAGAAGTCTATCTGAGAAATGACTTTGAGAAAAATAAAACTCAGATCTGATAGAGCCTCTAGTAGGATTGAGTTGATGGAAAATTATAATGAAAGGTTATCGAAAGGTGGAAAGAGTTGTAAATAGGCACAAAGAAATTTTTTAATGAAAAAAATGAGACTATTATTTTTTTTAAAAAGGAAGTGTAATCATGGTGCCCAATAATGCTCAGCTGTGAATAGTTTTTGTCTAGCCTTAGGAATACAAATACTGCATATTTCCAAACCAAAATGCATACTATAACCCTATTGAGAGGATGAGGGGGCACCAAAAAAATAAAAAATAGCAGTGTAAGAGAGCTAAATCTTCATTTCCCCTCCTAGGAAGTCAAGAGATAAGAGAGAAGTATAAGCCTATTATTTAGAAATAACTATCTGTTTGTTATTTTGATTATATAATATTAATTTAAAATAATTGATATTAATGGGGGGAAAGTATGCTGTTATAAAGAAAGGTATGTTGACGGTATGTGGATGGCTCCATACGCTAAGTGTCTGCCTTTGGCTCAGGTCATGACCTCAGGGTCCTGGGATCGAGTCCCACTTTGGGCTCCCTGCTCAGTGGGGAGTCTGCTTCACCCTCTCCCTCCCCTTGCTCATGCTCTCTCTCTTACTCAATATCTCTCTCAAACACAAATATAAAATCTTTAAGAGGATAAAAGTACATGATGTGCAGCCTCGCTGAAAGACCTGGGATAATCTCCCTAAGGAAAGATTCACAATGAGATTTATCCAATGACTAGGAATTAGTAGAAAGGAGAGAGGGGGTGGATAAGGAAGCATGAGGTTAGAGAAGTAGCCAGGAAAAGAGAAAATAAGGATAAGTCTTAATAAATTAAAGATCAAAAGCTATATATTAAAGGCAGATGTATTTCTACATCTGTACTATGCTAATAGACTCCTGGTTGATTTTCTTGCCTCAGCCATCATGTGCAAGATTGCCATATAGATCTTCCTAATG